GTCCCATTGAACTCTAACCGAAAAATGAAAAATAAAATTCTCCAAACCGAAAGTTAATTTAAAACAAACTCAAAGTCTTACAAACAAACTAAGAAAAATCTTAACAGTTTTCTCAAGAAATCTAAATCATAATAAGAACCTCTATGAAATTTGACTAACATTAGGAAACCTGGATCTTTATATATCAAAATACAATAAATAAATAAAATCATACTCTCACGGCACGCATTTTCCTCGTGACCCTATCCACTCTCTGTTGAGGATAGGGGCATGAAACCTTTGGACCATTACACAGTTTTTCGAAAGAAAAGACGGCTGCCAATTTCGGTGGATCACGAGTGAAGTCACAATTATCCTTCCTGCAAGAAAATTGTTTAATGATCAGTCTATCAATATGGTTTCTGTGCATCTAAAGTAAAGAGGAGTTATGTCGTTTACTTGAGCGACTTTCTGCGTCAGGGTTGAACTAAAAAAAGAATTTTTTTCCAAAAAGTTTCGTATTAACAAACAAACATCTAGTTCTGAGCTGTACCACACTTCTTACTTTCAATACTGAGTGACTTTTATTCTTTTTGAAATTTCTCTAATTATTTGATTCACTACGACTGTTTTCTATTCTGACATGGGCTTAATTGCGTAAAACTTAAATTCTTCTGTTTGTTTGTTTGTTATGGATTTCGCGCAAAGCTACACGAGGGCTATCTGCGCTAGCCGTCCTTAATTTAGCAGTGTAAGACTAGAGGGAAGGCAGCTAGTCATCACCACCCACCGCCAACTCTTGGGCTACTCTTTTACCAATGAATAGTGGGATTGACAGTCATATAAGAACGCCCCCACGGCTGAAAGGGCGAGCATGTTTGGTGTGACGGGTATTCGAACCCGCGACCCGCAGATTGTGAGTCGAGCGCCCTAACCACCTGGCCATGCCAGGCCTCTTCTTGTCTCGAGTTTTGATACATACTCTCTATCAATGCTCATGCGATTCAAAATACCATAGTATGATTATAATAATAACAACGCCTAAATCCAAGCTTGTAATACATAACTACAATGAATAGTCATACGATATATCTAATAATTTCTCACAAGAGACAATATGTAAATAAATTATATGTGTTGTGGCTTACAGCCATTTCTTCACATCTCAATATTTTTTTTCCCGAACGCTTTGTCCTTAACACATCACGTCAAAGTCTGATGTGCATTTTGAAGGATGTGGTTAACTCCTACGTATTTTCCAAGTAATATGACTCTTGTTTTTGTTGTTGTTGTTTATGGTTATTCTTCGGAACAACTTCCAATGACATAATAAAAAATATATTTTCTCGAACTGAATAACAAAACCGTCAAGTCACAACTAAGAAGTGTTGTCAAGATAAAACAACGATTGGCAGCATATGAGGTCGAAATAGGAAACATAAAATTGATAGTGCTTAAAAAATCTTGTGGTATACTTCATTAACACACAAGCTTTTACACTCTTTTCGAGAAAAATTATGTTAGAGGCTACTTTTGTTTTGTTGCTGCCATACATAAAACATAATTTTTATCGGCATTCAATGATGCGAATAAATCATTAGTATAAATGTCTTTCGTCTCTGAGCTTATTTTCCACTAATATGAGTAAAATTATCATCTCAATAAAGTCACATCTGTTTTTTCAATATTGCTTTTCGTTCGTTAAAAAAGTAGTTGCAACAGCAGTGTTTGCTAAAAAAACAAATCTGTAAAGGTTGTAAAAGTGATAAACCAAAACAAAGCCTTTCTGAGAGAAACCCGAATAAAATAGTAATGGAGCAGTGTATAGTCAACAGTTTGTTCTTTATCTTCATTATCGAGTTTTGTTTCCAGATTTAAAATAATCATTTTGGAATTTGTTTTGAAAGTCAGTAATCCTATATCTGGTTGGACAAACACCGAGACTTTCTGGAGCCAGTTTTTAGTAGACTTTTTGTTTTCAAATTATGATGTTCTTACTTTGGAACATATATTTTGGTAATGTATAAAATATTTAGTAGTGCTTAAAACACTTCGTAATCTCCTGTACTGCACTAAGTTTTGGAAGTGACTGCAAAAGAAGATATGACGACTTTTCTTCTTAGAGGACTTTTTTATTCACTTTTATTTTTTACTTCTCTTTGTCTAATGGTTGTAAAGATTGGCCTCCCATTACAGCAACAATAATACGGTGGTATTATGTTTATAATTCTGGTCGTATGGGCGTTGCCATTAAAACACTCTGACATTATATAACTCTGGAGTAGTATATATATATATATATTTTTAGAATGAACCAATGTGGGATGTTCACTTCGATTTTGAGAGGTAAAATGTCTTAAATTTTTCACTTTCCATCATATTCTCTGTCGACTTTATTCTTCTGTTATCTAAAGATGTTTTCAAAGTTTAAATTTGTATTCCTGGATGTTACTTGCACGACCTCCACAATGGAGAGAGGTTTGAGGATATGACAGGTGGGCGAATTGTCTTAATGTGGTTTGAAAAGTTAGTGTAAAATAAAGTAAAGACATAACAAATATCAAAATTCACCATAACAGTTAGGCATATGTTTATTATTTATATGATATAAAATAAAATAAAATGAATGAAAAAACTAGGTCAGTTAATTAAATCTTGAAATGAGGGTCTAATATAAATTATAATATTGTTACGACATCGAGGTCACGTGACTAGTATCACGCCACGTCATTCTCGAACTTTCACGTCTTTTCCTTAAATCTCGTG